GTTTCCATTTAGGATTATGCTTCTGGCTCCTTGTAAAGTCCTTTCATTCTTTTCCATTCCCTTGCATTTTACTAACTTGAGGGTGGGTGAATTGATTCAAAAAAACACACTAAAAACAAGGAAAATAAGAAAAAATGCACTATATTACAAACACCCCCAAAACAATGCTGCCTTTGCTTAGATGATAGTGATAATTACCTTTCCAGAAATGACCCCCCCCACACTGCAAAAAATTTGAGCCTATATAGAAATGCATACATGAAAACAACAAATTCCTACTGTGCTATTTACAACCACATCATGGCCAAAATGACTAAATACAATCCCATCACCTAGATTTAATAAAATTTATTTGAAATACTAGAAACTTAGAAGCACAGGAATATATATGAGAAAGAAGATAAAAAAAAAAACAACAAAAAAAACAAATGAATATATATATATATATATATATATATATATATATATATATATATATATATAGGAAACCATGATATAAATAGACTTAAGGATTAACTCTTAAACAAGACAATTAGGTAGGACTGGTTGGTCTCCTCCTTCCTTCTTTTATGTGAAGTTTGCTAGACTAGAACTTGGTCTGAAAATTAAAACCAAAATTTTACATACTCAGAAAAAAAAAAACATTTATTAGTCAAGTACATTGTCTCCATTGTTTTTGACAACTGTCTTCCATTGTTCTACAAGCTTGTTGTTGCCATTTTCGTAGAAACTTTGTGTTTTTTGTTAGAAGTAGGTTGTGAGGTAGTTTTCAATTGACTGTTAAATTTTTTGTTAAATTGTTCTGTAGAGACAAGAAGAAATGCAAATTCAAAGCAGCCAAGTTAGAAAGATATGGTTTGGGGGAGCTGGAGTGGGGGGGTCCCATTCTACCATGTCTGCTTTACAAAGAAGTCTTGTGTTGTCTCACTGGAAAATGACGTCTTTTCGATTTGCTAAAATCATCTATTTTTCCTGAATATCCCCATTGAGTGAATTGGTCACAATATTTCTTGGCAGTTATTGTTTTGTCAGCTGGGAAAAACCCAAATTGAATTATTCCTATGCAAGTCCACTTTAGCAAAGAATTCTACATATTCACAAACTTGTTTTCAGCACCGTTGTGTCAGACGTTAACATAATCCATTTTTCATCACCTGTGACAATTGTGTACAAGAATGGTTCCTTTTCGTGGTGTTACAAGATAAAATCACTGCAGAAACACAATGAAACTTGTTTTGTTCCATCAGTGACTGTGGCATCCATGTGTCAAGTTTGGAAACAAACCCAAGTCTCTTCAAATCAAGAAAGGCAGTTGAGATATTTTATTTATTTTTTTTAAACTCTTAGCATTCTCTTCTCTTGAAATCTTCACTTTATTCTTCATGATGGCAGGCAGAGTGTTTTCATCAACAGAAGGTCACTCAGAATTTTGTTGATTGTTTAGGTTAAAATCACACTGACAAAATCTGCAAAACTACTTTTTAGTCTTCTGAAGAGCTGGAGCATAATCCAAATTGATGTTCTGAATGTTTTTTTTGTCCCACTTCCAATGCTTACTCCTTTCTGAAATTCATAGAGCATAATATGGCAGAAGTGCAATTTTTCATCCTCTTTCTTTAAGGCATTCATTTGCGGGCAAAACATCAACATTCAACAAAGTCTGACTTGCAACTGAGCAATGCAAGGTTTCAATCTCAAACGCACCAGAAATCATCACCAGTTTGAAGTTGCAGTCACTTTATATTTACAAGGAAAATCAAGCATAAACTTTTGTAATGATATATTTTCTTTAATAATATTTCTTTAAGGCCATTTGATGAAAATCCATAAATATACTGTTTTAATAAATAAATGAAACATCTACTCAAATATGAGTATCCACTAAAAATACTGTTTAAAATGATATAAAAATATTTGATAAGATAAAAAAAAAAACAAATAGAGAACGTTTATCAGTCTAACATTAACTTTAAGAAATAAACTTAAAAAATTAACTTAAAACTTAATCAACTTTAAAAATTTAACTTTTATTAAGTCATAAAAATCTCAATCTCTAGTGCAGCTTTATTAAAATTGAAACATGTTAGATTAATATAGATTTCTTATTTGTTCTTTATCTTATCATCCTGTCAGATTCCAATCCATATTTGATCTTTAACTCATATTTGAGATAACGATATATATTTTTATATATCAAGAATAGTATTGGGGAAATTGTATGACAAAGTGGAAAAAGTTTACTTGTGACACGTTTTGTCCTTCAGGACTTCATCAGACTACACATTGCACACAACAGGGGAGTGCTGGGAATTTTAGAACTTTTTTCTTTTTATCTAGCCAAATTCATTTAGTTTTTTTTTTCTTTTCCATCACTTTTTTAAATAGGTATTCCACACTGTGATGTTGGATCTGCCAGGAATGGTGAAATGTTGTAAGAGCCTGGGTGCAAATATAATTGTAGATTAAGGCATTCTAGACCTTCACATTGTAGTGAATTATTTTCACCTTGATCAGCATTTTTTTATGTCAAAATTGTAGTCAGTCTCATTATGGTGGGCAACCAATGCTTTTGATGTATTATTTTGTAAAATGTCCTCTTTATGTTCATATAATCTTTTATTTAGATTCCTTGAGGTCTCCCCTATGTATTTTGTGACATCAGGTGATGGTGTAAACTCCTTCAAGGTGGTAACAAACCCCATGCAGATAAATTCCTTTCAATTGCAGATATGATAGAATTAGTAGACAGGACTATATACCTTTCTTATTCATTGAGTTTTGCAGTAGAGGCTGATACCTAAGTGAACGTTTTATGAGCCCTCTTACCTCACAATGAATATAAAATAATTAGGGTACTGGAGAAGTTTGAAAATGTTTTCAATATATTTCTCCTCTTCATATAAATAATCCGAATTGCATATTCTTTGCGTTCTTAGGTAGAATCTGATGATTATGCTGGATTTTATTTTGTTGTTATGATAAGAATAGAAATTTATTAGGTCATTTTTGTTGGTTGATTTCTGGTGGACACCAAATTTTAAACTGTTGTTAATACAGTGTAGCTTGATATCTAGGAAGTGTAAGGAATTGTCTTCTCCCATTTTGTAGGTGTGTTCAACTTTGTTTAGTTAATCTACCAGGCCAGGTAAATCAGTATCACGAGGATATATACGTAGAGCATCATCAATATAATGGAAGTATGTTGAATGTTTGGGTAAAATATTTTGGAAAAGACCAGATTTGAGAAATTCTAAGATATATGCCATCACTCCACTGAAAGACGATCCCATAGATAATCCAAATTTTTGTTTGTAACAAACATTATTAAATGTGAAGTAGGGTCCAGTATCCTAGTTATGGACCTTGCCAGTTTAGGGGTGGGGGTGCACTGTCTATTCCTGAGACAATGGGGCACATTGGGATACCAGTTTTGTGGGCCTCAGGGAGACTAGAATTTGTCCATTCTAGGGTAATACTCCATTAGTTTATACCATGATTTGTTTTCATTCTTAGTTTCCTGATTTCCTTGTTAAATTTTTGTGTTTCAGTAGTTAGTTTTTGCCCATTTATTTTTCATATGTGTTTGTATTGTTGAGTAGTGACTTAATTTTTTTCTATGTATGTATTTTTGTACATGATCACAATCCCCCTTTCTTATTTCTCACTAGGTTCTTTAGTGCATATATATATATATATATTAATATATATACTCTTTACAACATAACACTTGTTTGTATTTATTTATGATACAGTGGAAGACTCATTTTTGCACTTCTTACAATGAAGCTTTTTCTCTCCCCTCGAAGAAATATGGTTTGCTGAATATGTAACGAAGACCATTTCCGTTGAGAAATGTTGGTTGAAGGGCTCAACAATTTGCTAAGAAATAGCAATCATAATTCCTTTTTTTTTTTTTTTTTTTTTTTTTTTTTTTTTTCTTTTGAGGAGGTTATATACAAGTTTTTAGCTACCCCCCTACATACATGGACTTTGTATAATTTTGACATTCCAGGCGTAAAATCAAAATTTCAATAAAATCATTGCAAAATGTTAATAATATATACTTTTTATGAGTGGGTCAAGAGTCATGTTGTTGTTATAAAACTTGTATACTTATATATATTCAACAACCTTTCTTTCAAACTTGTTGAAAATAACAGACAAGGAAAATTTGAATTTTTATTTAGTTTTTCTTATATTCTTTTCTGTTTGATGAGGGTAAGGGAGTATAAAATTTGTCCATAGTGTCTATTGACCCAAAACCATTCAACAACGACTTTAGATTTTTTTTTTTCAAGGTGTTGTTAATTATTGCTAATTTTGTTTCTTGGTTGTCTTTTAAGATGTAATTGTGTGATGCATATTCTATGATAGTAGCATTTATTCTTAGCCATGTAAAAGGAACATGAACTCTCCACAGCTTCCAACCCTTCATGGCTCTTAGCAGTGTTTCTCTCTTTGCCA